CTCTTTCCCATAAGCACAGGCTCTGTCCACCCATTTAAGTGTATAAATGATCAGCCAACACTATTGGATGATGACATTTATTCTTCAGGACTACAAGTTATTGGTGGATGGCTGTCTAGAGCCATGGGCACCGTGGTAACGAGTTGTGAATGCAGCTGGAAGGTCCGCCGTGGGGTCAGCAGCTCGCCCACGTGCACGTGCACAAGCTCTTCCTGAGCACGAAATCTCAGAACTTAGTCCTTTGCTGCTCAAACCGAGGTCTGGCAAGCAGCAGCCTGGCATCATCTGTGAGCGTGCTGGAAACTTTGAAGTTGCCGATATACAGGCCAGGCAGGACCTTGTTCATCCCATTCCCCACGACGACCTCGCGGTCTAGCACCCAGGGCGCGGCTGCAGGCGTGCTGAGGACCTGTTGGAGCGGGCGGGGGAGGAGCGGGCGGGCGGGCAGGCAGCGCTGCGCGCCCGCAGCGTAAACAACAACAAGCACCGGCGGCGCCCTGGCCTCTCTGTACTCTCCGCTCCTGTCCCCCGCGCCCCCCGGACTCCCCGGCCGCCGGGCAGAGGCACAGGCGCCCCTGCGGGACGGGGCTCGCGGCGCCTGCCCCCCCACCCCGAAGTGAGCCCGGCGCCTGCCACGCCGGCCCCCTGGACTTGTGGACGCGGTTTTCTAGGGTCCCGGCCGGGGCGCAGGGACATGGCTCCTGGGTGCGGGGGCCTCCAGGATTATGGCTCCTCGGAGGCCTGCCTGGGGTTTTCGATAGCCTGTCAGTTGTGTATCCAAATATATTCTTGATGTTAAATTCAAATACAGATAAAGCAAAATTCCTCTACTCCAATCCCACTACCCTCGATAAATGTAATACTAGTATGGTAACCTTCCAAATTCTTTTCTGTATATTTACCACACATACACAGATATAAATACATATAAACACGTGTATGTGTGGATATTGTTTTTGCTTTGTTGGATATAAATACCATACTTTATGTATGGTTCTGCAAGTCATTTTTAAGTCATAGGAACTCTTCATTGACATGGATCAATACATTAAGACTACATGGGAGGTTAGTAAATAGTAAAATTTACATTTCAAAAAAGAGAAAAGAATCTGTGAGTCAGTTACCTATCCATTTTGAGAGCAAGAAATTTCAATCTCTATACCACTTGCAAAAATTAATTCCGGTAGAATAGATGGTTAAATTTAAGTAAGTATATTAGAAGGAAATGTGAAATACATTTTCTCCTTAGGACAGGGAGGACTTCTTTTATAAAGAACTCTTTTAACACCGAAGGATTGGCAGAGCTCATAGAATTAAGCAGCAGGACGAGTCCCACCTCCGTGGGAATAAGTGAGACATTCAGAAGCCAGACCCGTTACCACACCTGAGATCTTCAAAATTCTGAGAAAATGTACTCTGAAGCTATAATTCTATGCCCAAGCTATAATTCAAGTTTGAGGGCATTTTCAAACATGCAAAGATTCAGTTTACCGCTCATGATCTTGTCTGAAAGTATCCCTAGGGGTTTTATTCCAGTGAAATAAAAAGTAAATCTAAGGGCTTCCCTGGTGGCGCAGTGGTTGAGGGTCCGCCTGCCGATGCAGGAGACGCGGGTTCGTGCCCCGGTCCGGGAGGATTCCACATGCCACGTAGCAGCTGGGCCCGTAAGCCATGGCCGCTGAGCCTGCGCGTCCGGAGCCTGTGCTCCGCAACGGGAGAGGCCACAACAGTGAGAGGCCCGCGTACTGCAAAACAACAACAACAACAAAAACAAACAAACAAAAAGTAAATCTAAGATTTAAAGAATAATTAAGCACACCAAATCAAAAAAAAAAACAGTGAAATCCACATAATTTTAGATTACAAAACATTATATAAAATGAAAATACTCCAACAGGAGAGGTGTCAAGGAGAAAAGAAAAACAGAACTGAAGCTAATTACCTTGCTAACAAACTCGTCATGTTTGGGTGCAGGATACAGAGATTCATGCTTACTCTCACCATCTAGTAGGCATTTAATTGTGAAAAATATAAAATGTAAGGGTAAGACCCAGCAATTCCATC